CATCATGCTGGTTCTGGGGGTGGCATCAGAAGAGCAGGAGCCCATTGGTGATCACACAGCAAGGCAGGATGTCGGACGCCTTAGATCTGCTCCTAGGTTTTGTTAAGGAAGAGGCCCGCCATGAGGGGCAATCATTGTACTTCTTGGACTCTTTTCACCTATAAAATTAAAATATGGAATTAGATAAGCTCAAGGTTTTCATCATATGATAAGAATTTATGACCTGAGCACAGATCCAGTAAGTTTTTGTAATGCACTTTTAAAACCACTTTTATTCCATGGAACTAGAATATAATCACTTTACGACACTCAAAAACTATAGAAAAGAATGAATTTCTCCACCCAGAGTTAGCCGTTGCTTGTCTCCAACTATTTAGAATGTTGGACATATATTGATGAGTTTTCTTTGGATAGTTCCTGTGTGTGTCTTCCTACAAAATAATCCTGTATGCAGTGAGGAGCCTACTTCCTCCTAATAGTGCATCAGACAGAAATTCTCTCATTATTCAATGACATGTTAACCCGATTTAATATCTCCTTAAAATTCTATTTGATTTATACAGTTATTCACTTCATTGCCTCCTGGTCTTGAATGTTGAGTGCTTTTCTCATTTTTGGTGGGGTTTTTTTTTTTTTTGGTGATTCCAGCTTTTACTCACATTGTTCTGTTATCTACGTAAGCATCTCGTACAGTGACCAAAAGGTGGCAACAACCCAAAAGTCCACCAGATGATGGGAATGTCAACAGAATGTGCTGTGTCCCTATAAACAGATTATTATACACCCATAAAAAAAGAAAGTATTGACACAAGCTACAATAGTCATGAACCCTGAAAACATGATGCTAAACAAAGGAAGCTTGACACCACGGGCTATATAGTCACTCCCTCTGAATATGAATATTCAGAACTTGCAAATTCATGAAGGCAGAAACCAGGCTGGGGGTTGCCATGAGCTAGGGGAAGAATAGAATTAGGGAGTTACTGCTGAAGGGTACAGAGTTTCATCTTGGGATAAGGAAATGTTCTGGGACCAGAGAATAATGGTAGTTTTGGAATGCCAGTGAACTATGCAAAATAATATGCTACATTTTATGTTATCTATGTTTTGGTACAATAAAAAAAAAAATAGGACTTGTTCTAGGGGACTGGAAAGTGTATAGATCTAGTTGGTTGTGCCTTTGTTCTACCACTTACTGGCTAATTGACCTTGGCCTGTATTGACTCCCAGTTCTTATTTTGCCATCTATAAATTGAGAATAATTATAATAGTACCTACTTCCTAGAGTTAAAAATCTCAGAGGAGTCAAAATATGCTAAGTGCTCACCACAATTTCTGGCCTTGGAGTAAGCATGCGGTTAAAATTTGTTATCAGCTTAACCAAAGTTTTCTCAACCAGAGGCAGTGGATGTTTGACAACATCTGGAAATATTTTTATCACTGTTATAATGTGTCTCGTGGCATCCAGTGGGCAGAGGGGGAAAGTGGCCAGAAAAGATCCAGAAATGCACATGGTAGATCCTGCAGCTACAGATTGTAGAGAGTCCTTGGTTTAAATAAAGCCAGTAGGCAAATAGACGCTATTTCATGAATTTGTAAGTGAAGAAGTATGGGTTGGGAAGGATTTCGAGTTAGAACGAGAATGCCAGTCGCAGTATTGAATTCCCACTGTGCATGGAGAGCACTGTAGTGGATATTATGGATGCAAAGGAAACCAGAGCTCATCCTTGGAGCCCAGATGAAGAGGGGCTCTATGGGGCTGGATGATGCAGAAGGGAAGTTCCTGCAAGAGACTGGGCTTTCTTTTACTAAGAGGGTGATCTGAGGTCACCACATCGCTCACAATAATGCTCACTCCAGGACTGGCAATGACAGTGCTGTGTGAAGTCTCATCTTAGGCAACAGTGTGTGGTCCCTGCCCATGTCTGAATGTGTCTTGTGTCTGGGTCAATTCTACTGAGTGAATATGGGAAAAAGAACTCAGTGTCACAAATGGAGATAACAAGTACATGTTACGAGTAAAGGCACAGACACAAGACAAAATCTGAAATGGCCTTGTATTCAACCACCTGTGCCCCCAAAAGCAGGGGAGAACCTTTGACCCACTCTCCATTTAAGGAGTAATTGTATATCAGATTCTAAAATGATGTGTTCATGTATTTTGCCTTGTCCAGATCCAAACATTCCACCAGGAAATGACTGACTGGTTGTCAAAAAGGTCTCTCTTGATTTGCTAGCAGTGAAGACTTAGCTAAGCCTCCTTTCTATCAGTTCACCTTCAGGCTCCAGCTGGGAAGCTTGCAGAGGACTGCCACGCCTCCAACATCGCCTGTGGGTGACATTGTTCCTGAGGATTGGACAGCAGGCAGGAAGATGGCAGCATCTGGGGAGCCCAAAGTGGGAGCAGGTTGCCAGAGCTCCACATCTTTGGGAACTACAGCCTGGGAATGGGTGACCCTAGAGTGGAGCAGGGGACCCCACACCTGCAGCCATCTTGCACAGCTTCCTCCATCACTCTGGATCCCTCTACGTACAGATGCTCTCTAGAAATTTCTGTTTATTCCATGCTAGTTGTGGCAAGAAATCTTACCAGAGCCTCCTAGGAAGAAACAAAGGTGAATCAGGCACAGAGCGTGTCACAAGGAATTCTCGGAATGACCTATGAGAAATCACTTCCCTACAAGGCAGAAAGTGTGGGCTCTGAGCTCTGGGGCTTCAGAGGGTGTGTTTGCTGGCAGCCGGGAGTTAGGGAAACGTCTTCCTGGAACATGACAGTTGAGTTAGAGATGTAAGTGTAAGTTAACAGGTAGATACATGGAGATGATGTTGGAATGGGCAGACAGAGCGAACCACTGAGGTAGAATGTGGAGGATATTGGAGGAGAGGACGGCAGGATGGTGAGGGGGACTGGGGAAAATGAGCTAGAGGTCTGGGAACGTGCTTGTGGCAGGGAAGCTTGGAGCGAACTTGGTGGCTGGATTAGGAAGTGGGTTGTTTTGTGTAAGGGACACTGAGGGACCTGGATTATTATGAGGGAAGAATAATAAGGGGATAAAGAATTCAATTCATATGAGGACACTTCACAAAGTTCGTGAAAAAATGGGATGAAATAAGCTTATATGGTACAGAACCAATTTAAAAACAGTTTTTTTTTTCAGTCTGTACTCTTATGAATGATTTGAAGATCCCTTGTATATATAGATCTCAAATTGTTTTTTACACCCAGGTAGATTTTCCTTTTAATTCTATTTCCATGAGGTTTGTGAGGTGTCCTTCTATTTTTGATGAACTATCTGTCGATCACAGTGGCAGAATATGGGAGCACATGAGGCTAATGGGGAGCATGGTGCTGGATGCCGGTGCTTGTGGTCTTGTCCTGGTTCTGCTGCTTAAACTGGCTGCATGTCCTGGGGCATCTCAGTCTCTTCTTCTGTAAGATGGGGGTGAGAATCTCACAGCTCAGTCCCATGTGCTGAAGATCGAATGAGTAATTGCCTTGAGCACATTCAGAAACAACATGAGTCAATATGCCCAACAGCTCAATGTAAGAAGTGATTATTATGAACCAAGAAGTGAACCAAGTTGAAATAATACTAACATGGAGGACTAGGGAAATCCCAAGAGTAGCTCTTTTTTACATCCCACAAGGCTGCTTGGAAGGGCTCTACTGAAATGTGGGTTGTATTCCAGTAGAGGACAAGGTGGGGTACCTTTCCTCTCCATAATAGCCCAGCCATTAATGTTCTTGCTTTCTTGTTCCCAAAGCATTGATAGTAGCTCCTGGCTTGGCCACGTGAAATTGCACTCCCAGGACATGGAGTTCCCCATTTCCGTTAATGGAGAGACCTGGAACAGAAAACTATAATCCCCAAGAAACCAGCCATCCACTAAGCTGTCCAGAGGACAAAAGGCATATGGATAGCCTTGGGCACTAACAGATGGTCCGCTGAAAATGTGTTATTTAAAGGAAAAGTAACCATGAGTTTTGGGGGGTTTAACCAAGCAAAAATCTGTCCACGTGGGTTAGGGGTGTGGAAGGGAAAAGGAAGAGACACTGGGGAGCAAGGTATCCTGCCTCTTCTTTTGCAGCATGGTCTGTAGAACTCAGAGCTGAAATGCTCAGCTCTTCGTTGCTACCCCGTTCAGTCCTCAGACGGTTCCAATTTAACGCATGTGTAAGAATAAAAATTAAGCTTTCAAGTGCTGGGCAGATTTTTGAAAAAGAAATGCAGGCTTTATCCTTTAAGATGAAACAATTATCTGGGTTTAAAGGCTTAACCTACTGGAGTTCAGCCCAGGAATGGGGTTCAAAATCCCAGAATAATTGGATGCAGCCTCAGACTTTGAACACGAGAGCCCGTCACTGTATGTGTGTGTGTGTGTGTGTGTGTGTGTGTGTGTGTGTGTGAGAGAGAGAGAGAGAGAGAGAGATTAAGTAGAGACAGTAAGCTCTCCTATGCCTCATGCTGGAACAGGACAAATAAAGCTGCCACTCCTGCTCCCTGGAGTGCTCAGTAGCCAACTGGGTCCGCTCCTGGGGGTTGCTGTGCACATGAATGTGTGCTATTGTTCCCAGCACACGCCGGCCCTCAGCGCCAGCACAAATCAGGCCCAGCCTTATTCAAAGCAGAGCCCCCTTCATCGCTGCAGCCGGCCTTCCAGGTCACATGCCGGAGGCCTGTGCAGACAGGACACAGCTGCCTCAGATCTGCTGCCTGACATTAGCTGCAGTTCAAAAAAACAAAAACAAAAAAACCCAACCTGACAGCACTGAGAGCTCCCGGGCTCCTGCAAGGGAAACCAGAGCAGTCTGGGATCCACAGGCATCCACAATGCTCTCCCAGGAAGTGTGGCTGGAGAGCGAGAAAAAGTGTGCTGTGGTCCGGAAGTCCAAGCAGGGCCGGAAGCGCCAAGAGCTGCTGGCCGTGGCCTTGGGGGTGAAGGTGGGCGTCAAGGGCAGCTTCCTCTGGCCCCCTCTGAAACTCTTTGCCTGTCCGCAGATCTCCTCCCTGGTCCGAAGGGCCGCCCTCACACACAGTGACAACCACTTCAACTATGAGAAGACGCACAACTTTAAGGTAAGCACATATGGGCTTGGTTTCTGCCAGTAAGGGGTGGTTTGTGATGGTCTCTGATGAGTAAGTCGAAAGGAAGCAGAATGCTTTAGTTCCCACCTTAGGCTGCATGCTTTGCCCCTAAGCAAACCAGACAGCCTGGACAGCCTTGTGCTGGACATTTCTGCCTGCCAACACCTCTCTGCTGAAATCGCCTCACCTTCCCACTTCAGTGGAAGAAAACAGAGCATAGCCAGTGTGTGGTGTTTGGAGTGGACCAGTACTGTCCCACTCACAGGAGCTGTGCAGAGCTCAACTGTAAAATCCCCCACAAGTGACAACAGATGCCCGTGTCACATCTTGTCTTTTGTTGTCAAGGATGCCCGCTCCTTGTGTTTCTTTGTGGACAGCTGTGAAAGCAAATGACAGGAGATCCCACCCAGCAGCTTTTGCTTGTGCTGTGGTGCGGGGGCACCCCTGGGTAGCCTTGCCAAGCTTGACCCGCTGCTCCCCAGACCAAACAAAAAGATACGGGGGCTGCTAGGAGCTGAAGAGGAGTTTCCCATGCTTATTTAAATGCTGGCAAGGCTGCTATCTTCATTTCAGACCTGTGCTTGTGGAGACAGTCTGCTGTCAGAAAATCATGGCTTGTTTCCATTACCCTCCTGGCTTTTCCAAGAAAGACTGGAAAAAGGGTGTTTGGGCTGGAAATGCTCTTGTAGGGTGGGGATACGGAAGTTACAAGTTTAGCAACATGGGCTAACTCTTTGCAAGTCGGAGAGGGTGGAGCTGAAGGATCCAGAAGAAAAAGAATAAACAGGAGCAGCATAATGCAGATTGTCTTCTTTTAAAACACAAACACACACACGGAACCAACTCTGGTTTCCTTTGGATCCAGTGCGCAAGATAGTGTTGCAATTAGAGGTGACCAGCAAGGTGCTTTTCTTATGTTACTTTCTGGTCCCTTCCAAAGGACAAACTTGTGTCTCCTAAACACACTCGCTGCTGTGGTCTGGCTCCTTGCTTCTGTTTTTAGAAAGCCATTTAGACCTGCCATTTGCATGCTATAATTGCCCTAGGGAGTGGAAGCTTACAGCACCAGCACAAGGGTGAACAGTTGCATGGCAGGTTCACTTCTGTGCAAGCCTCGCTCTGTTTTACCCATGACAGGGTAGTGAGAGTTCTAATTTGAAGCACAAATGTCCTTTATGTTTCCTCTCTCTTTTCTGTCATCTGTTGTAATATCAAGAAATGTTTTAGTCTTAAGAAAATGTGGCAGGGCTCCATCTCTCTCTCTCTCTCCCCTCTCTCCCTCCCTGTCTCTTCCTCTCTGTTGTGTCCTGTGGAGGCACTGCCTTGCAGGAAAGAGCACATCTTCTCGGGCTTGAAATTATTGTGCTTCTCCTTGAGAGTTCCAGTTGGCATGAGGCTCTGCCACCGTGGGTTAACAGGAAGCAGCTTTTCCCTGTATCAGAAAAATCACGGAAACTGAGCTTCCAAGATGGGCGATTTTGGTGCAAAATGTTTTGAAACCCACATCTACTTCTTTTCCATGATGTCCGTGTCCCACAAACTTTTTACCGACTGCTTGTATAGACGATTCCTGGGCTTGTATTAAAAGCACTTGAGCAGGTTTTATGCAGTAACACTTCCATAACTAATTTCAGTCTCCTTCATCATAGATCTTTGGGTGGGAAATGAAACCTCAGACATTTTCAAAGAAACATACAAAAAGCTAGTTAAATCTTTTTTCTTCCAAAAACCTTTTTTCTTCTGTGAAAGTGTTGCTAACATGACATTCTAAATATTTATCCAGCTTTTAAATATTTCTGTGAAAACTGAATATCTGATGTGATCGCTTCAATCTTAATGGCTATTTGGAGGAGGAAAAGCTGAAAATAGATAAGCTATTTGTGAAGAATGCTTAGACCTGGCATGACCCTTCCTCTCTCCTGTTTTAAATAGATGCCTTTGACACAGAGCAAACCCTGGAGTGGCTGTGACAGTGGCTTGTGGCTTTCAATGGTACGGTTGGTGCCACTGACCCTAGGAATGAGTGGCTGGGCTGGGGCAGATGTTCTGTCTGCCATTCCTTGCCCCTTGCATCCTCTCCTCACTGCCAGTGGGAGCACTACACGTCTGTGGAGGTACATTCGTGAAGGCAGCAGTCTGTACTGTAATTAGAGCAGTGAGTTTTTAGTAACAAGCCACTGTACTGAGGAAAGCCAGCTCTAACCCAGGGCCCCTGCCAGCTGCTTGGCATTTGGTTTCATACCTTATTTCGATGTGGGCTTTGTAAAGTTCATGTGGCCTTCTTATGATGGGCCTTATTCTGAATCCTTCTTGATTTGTAATCAGGGTTGTTATTCGAGGGTATTATGTGCATGGCATTGAGTAAATGCTCCCATAAAAAGAACGTGTGATCACATTTTCTTTTTTAAGATTGGCTTATTTGCAAGGCAGAGTCATAGGGAAAAAGAAAGGAGGAGGCAGAGAGAGAGAGAGAGAGAGAGCGCGCGCCAGATCACTGATTCCCTCTCCCACTTGGCTGCAACAACCAGGTTAAAACCAAGACAAAGAACTCCAGCCAAGTCGTCCATGTGGGTGGTGGAGACCCTAGCACTTGGATCATGTCCCACTGCTTTCCCAAGTACATTAACAGGGAGTTGGCTCAAAAGCACAGCAGCTTAACCTGGTATGCCACAATGCCTTGCATGTACACATTTTCATGCCTATCAGAAAATAGGCTTTGCTAGGCCCTGTCTGTGCTGTGGCCTGGGGACCTCCAATCTGAGATTTGAATCAAACAGTGGAACTGGATACTTCATCTCTTAGCATGATTTTCTGCCTTAGGCAGGGCTGTTTGACCAGGTTGGAGGGGAAAAACAAAAAGACCCACATTTGTGCTACCCAAGAACTTGGTCCAGAGGAATGGAAGCTTCCAGCACTGCAGCACCAGGGATGTGTGCCCCCTTCTGCCAATCCCCAGTCACAGCTCCTGAGTGTGTTTGTGCTGCTTGTTTCCCAAGCGGAGCCCATTCAGGGAAAGCCAGCATGCAGCTCTGGGAATTGAAGCTTTGGGAAGCACATCACCCATCACAGTGCATTTCATGCAGTGTCTATATGCTTTTCAGCATCGTAGGCTGACACAAGATCTTCTTGTTTAAAGCCTGTGTGTGTTTTTTGGGGTTACCTCTACCTAGTAGGTTCTCATAGATACGTGTTCAAGGAATGGTGACACTGACTCCTATCTAAAATGGGAACCATTTTCCTAGACAGAAAACAGTTTGTTAATTATATCTCTGACACCTGTGACTATTTACTTGCCTGGAAGAACTGCCTCCTGTGAATGGAATGGCTATCTTTGAAATGATCTGCCCTGATAGTATCTTTAATTCTAGATATTGGACAACCTTTTTCCTTCCTTCCTTCCTCCCTTCCTTCCTTCCTTCCTTCCTTCCTTCCTTCCTTCCTTCCTTCCTTCCTTCCTTCCTTCCTTCCTTCCTTCCTTCCTTCCTTCCTTCCTTCCTTCCTTCCTTCACACAACACAGGGATGAGACAGCTTAACACTATACTTGACCACAGCCGTAGCTTAGGTCTCTTGGCCTCAGCTTCTTCGTATTTATAACAGGAGTCTTGTGCATACAAGTCGCTCCCCACATCTCTAGCATCTAGGAAACATCCATTTGGTATTCACTTCTGTGATTGATTTTATTCCTCATCTTGCTTATACTTGCCACGTTTCTTAAATTTCATATTAAACCTTCTTGCTGTTTTTATTTTGTGTCTTGATTTCTTCATGCCTTTTTCCCCCCCTGCTAGCTCTTTTTTCCTTTCTTATTCACTAGATGTGATAGAAAGACTTCATACACTTTTCCTTAAGTTTTTAGAAAGGATTTCTATGAGGAGTTGGTGAGTTTCCTAGCACAGTCAGGACAAATGGTCACAAAGGTGCAGACTCAACACTAGCTTTGGGGAGCCTGAAATCCATATTCAAGGTGTCAGGAGTCTAGGTTCCCTCTGGACACTGTGAGAGAGGCATTGGAGCACGTGTCCTTCTGGGTCCTGATGGCCGCTGGCCATCCTTAGGGTCTATGGCTCATGGACTCATCACTCTCCCCCCTGGCACTATCTTCTCTGAGTCCCTGTCTTTTCCTAGAGTCATTGGCCACTGGATTTATGGCCCATCCTTATCTAAAATGATCACATCTTAATTGCTTGTTCAAGGATCTTGTTTCCAAATAAGATCCCTTGCGCAATACCAAGAGTTAGAACTTGATCACACCTTTGAGGGACATCATGCACCCCATAAAGAGGACTTTAATGTTTTCAGGAACCTTTTAAGGGAAGAGTCCCCAGCCGCATCCCCAAATAGCGTATCACCGTGTCCATGAGTTTAAGCTTTCCATTTCCATAGTTTTTATGTCTACAAAATCTGCTGGAATCTGAGTCTAAGCATCAATGCCTTGATCCAGGCACCACTGCTAATCTCCATGGCTCCTGATTTAATCTCGGGAAAGAAAGATTTTATTGATTTTTTTCCTTGTCAGTGTTTCATTGCTCTGATAGGAAGTGATAGAATGCAGTCATTCTTATCTTCGTTTTTGACACATGAACAGAGTATAGTGAAGGCCCCCAAAGTTCTTTGAAGATAGCTGGTAATCTTCCACTCTTCAGAGCAAGTCCGTTGTGTCTGCGCTTGGCAGCTTTGTACATAGAGCAGACACTTCATCATCAGATTGATGACATAGGCTTTACACTAGTGTATAGGGCAAGGCAAGATTGGATGCATCATTGGCGGGGGGAGGATAGTGAAAAAAAATGAAAATAAGGGCTCCCTTGTTAAAGAATTATTAAGGATTGCTGGATAGACACAGTGGAACATGAAACAATGGAACAAGGCCCTCCTAAGAGAGGAATCTGTGTTTGTGTTTACCTGTGTGTGTCTGTGTGGACAGTTCCAGGGTCATGTGTGACAAGTGCCCCTGTTGGACATGAGTGACTTTGTGCCCTGCTTTCCCTTG